GCCAGTTTTTATTCAAAACTATATTTTGACAATATTGACTAAATAATTCGTTGATTTGTCATTTTTTCTTCTCACTTGGTTCTTTTTCTAGAACACTGGTGCAGACACTATAATGTCATCTTGGGTGTCACAGAAAAGTCTGTCCATTTATATCTTTCAAAGCATATTATATGCAAGCAAGTTCAGATGTGGGTTTTGCTCCATATTTACTGGTGCTTAAAATGTACAAAATCAGGCTGTTAAAATGCAAAGACACTGATGGGCCATATGGAGGACAGTTATCAAGAGTTCTCTAGTAAGACAGTCTGCCAGCCAGATTTTACTTGTTTAAACCAAGAGCCGCACTCTGCCGTCAAAATTGTTGTTGAACCTGTTGTGATAAATGGTAGTCTGAGACTTATGTAATGTATTCAAGGTCAGATTTCATTGTTTAAATAGGATGGGAGGGAAAGAATAAAAAAAGAGGACTGCTTCTCCAGGCCCCTGCTAATGATATGCCAGGCCAGACAACAACATTTTAAAACAAAAGTGACATTCTCATTGATCAGGATACCTAGTGTACTATTACAATAAATTGCTGTTTAATTCCTGTGTTTTCAGATAGTTGCAGCCACTACCCAAGGAGTTCCGGAGAGCATCCTGCTACCAAGCATCACAGCCCCAAGTGCAGAGGCTCTGCATCTGAGCTGGAGTGTCCCTGAAAAACCAAATGGTGTCATTAAAGAGTACCAGCTCAGGCAGGTTGGGAAAGGTCTCATCTACACTGACACCACTGACAGGAGGCAGCATACGGTCACAGGTGAAAAAAAAGGAAAACCTACTGGAGGAGTCTGTCGTTGTGGTTGGGGGGGCAAAGCATCCCAGGGGTGTGTGTTTGATATATGAGGTCACTTCAAAAGGACGTGTTCTCTTGACATATGGTCAGGTCCCACTTATCCATGCTAATAGAAGAGCCCACACTGGCAGCAATAAGCCACAACAGCAGATAACTTCAGAAATAATTTATATTTGGCTTTGATATGCATTATGTGTAGGGTTTTTGCATCAGTATTAACTATTTTTTTCAAACAAACAGTAAGATGCATTTCCATTCCCCAAGGATATACTCATAGGTAATGGGACTAGGAGAGCCAAGATTGTACTGGAAGGCAGGGGAAAATCAGCCAGAGGCTAACATTTGTCTGCTAAATGGTAATTAATATACAGAACTAGTTGGCAGTTGACCGGTTGTGACTATTTGTTATTATTACTGTTAATTAATAGTAATTATATTATTTTTATTATTTATTATAACATTGGTTATTATAATTTGCTTTAATAATATAACAATAGTACAGTACAGTAGTATGATGCTAGATAATTGCGAGTAGTGATTATAATAATAATTAACATGTTTTAGCTTGAATGTCACTTCCGAAGAGAAGAAAAGCATTTTCCGACTTACCCAGTCTGGAACAGCTTCTCTAACACACCACCACTTCCCTTTGTTTTATTTTCGTCATAGACTT